TATTAAACAGAATGAATGAAGCAGGATTTAGGTGGGAACGAGATGTGAATGCAATTTGACTCCATTTATCTAACAGGTAAAAATGTCTAAACGGAAATTCCCGAGTAAAATGGAGATCTCTACTTAAATTATAACAAACTTAAAAATAGAAAAATTAAATTGTATAAAATTTATAATTACAAAAACTAATTATGTTACCATTTTTAAATAATGATCTTAATTTTTTAAAATAAATGTAATTCATGACCGATAAATTTATACGTCAATATTCTAAATTAAATATATATTTCAATTTAAATTTCTACGACATTTTTGTCCAATATTAAAAAGACTAAATTTTGAATAAAAAAAATACAATTTCCAAAAAAACCCTTAAAGGCAAACCAACACGTCATAGAGAGAAAAGTCATCGTTATTTATTTACATTTTAATCCCTCCTCAATTCATTTATTAAATTGATTTCTTAATAAATTAAAAAAAATTAAAAATTAATATTTACCCAACACCAAACCATCATAATTATGGTTGAAAAATTTTATATAAAATACCTTTAAATTTGAAATAAATTTTAATTATATATTTGAATTTTAAAATAAAGATAAAATTAAAAATAAAATAAAATAAGCGGGAGAGAGAGAGAGAGAGAAGAATGTTAAAAGCAAGAGGGTGGTTGGGCCATTTACATATTATTGGTCTTTTGTTGAAATCTTGTTTTTCAGGTAACAGTAACAATCCAACGCAACATCGTTCTGACAATTCGATCTTCCCTTCTTCAGTTTGAATCCTTCTTCGTCTTCGTCTTGTTGTTGTTGTTGTTGTTGTTCTTCTTCTTCTTCTCCTTCTCAATCGTTTTCTTCTAATTCCCTTTTTCGATTGCATTTCTCACTTTTGAACTTCCTTTTTCCACTCTGAACTGCTTCTAATTCGCGCTCTCCATCATCACTGTGAGTATCTCGATCATTCTTGCAGTTTATTTCTGTGTTTTCGTTTGTTTCGAGTCTTGAATTTGTGTTAGATCAGGTGAGTTTTGGGGGGTTTTTCTGTTGGGGTTTGGTGAGCGGATTTTAGGGTTTCGAGCCGATGAGACTACTTTTGTGTGTTCTTTGTTTATTGATTTGAATTTTGTTCTGATGACTTGGATGGATGTTTTTTTTAAGGAATCTGATAATTTTGAGCTCGGTCTTGCTTTAGATTTACTTTGTATCGTCTTGTGTGCATTCATATTTAGTTTGCTCGATCTTTGATCGGAAGGTTTAGTTAAGCCTATTTTGATGGACTCATAATTTGTTTATACTCAGATATCTACTTGTCTTTTGAAGTATTATGTCCGATGTAGCCCCGGAGATGCTGTTTTCGTTATTTCCTAGATGTTATCTATGTAATTTCAATGTGTTTCACTGATCTTGTTTGTAATGTGTGTCTCTTAGATGTCAAATGTTTTCCGATTGGGAGCTTATGTTTGAAGTTTCTTATTGCAATTATTTTTTGACAGAGCGATTATGGCCACAGAGGAAGAACTTGATCTATCAGCTTTGAAAACTCAGCTCAGTGAAACAAATGGAACTTGGAAGCATGAAATGGAAAGGCGTCAATCAGAAGTAGATGTGTTGCAAGCAAGGCTTATGGAGGTAAAGGCTTGTATAGAAGGGTCTGAGGATGACTCGAGAAAGGAGCTAGAGGTTCTCTGGCGACGAGTTAAGACAACTTCTTCATTGTTGACATACTTGAAATCGAAAGCGAGAATGTTGGCGATACCCCATTTGGCTCACTCTTCATGTGGTATTAAGCATTTAGAAGGGGTAGGATTAGTTGACAAAAGTGGAATACCGCTGTCTGGTTGGTCTAAGAGTATCGATCTTTCTTCATTCGACGGTACTGAAGAGGAATCCTTGGTTGGTATTGGTAAGCCATGTGGTTTATTGGATGAACAAGATGCTGCGTATATCGGTCAAATACTTAAGTCTGTTCAGATGGTTTCAGATGTAATGGAAGCACTTGTCAAGAGGGTTATTTTGGCAGAATTTGAAACTGCTGAAGAGAAGGAAAAGGTTCATTTGGGTCAGGAGGAAATTAAAAAGAAATCAATCCAGATTGAGAACATGTCCTCAAAACTGGAGGAAATGGAACAATTTTCTGTGGGTACTAACGGCATTCTAAATGAAATGAAGCAGAGAGTCGAGGATCTGGTCGAAGAAACGTGTAGACAGAGGCAAAGAGCTGCTGAAAATGAGCAGGAACTATGTCGTGTTAAGCAGGACTTTGAGTCTTTGAAATCATATGTCAGTAGTCTCATTACTGTTAGAGAAACACTTTTGTCATCAGAAAAACAGTTTCAGACAATCGAGCGGCTCTTCGAACGGTTTGTACATTTTCTTAATGTCATATTGCTTTGACCTTGCTTGTTCTTTTCTTTGGTTATCATGAACGTTCAGTTTATTCTGTAGGTTTTCCTGGATGATGTCATTTTCTTTTGATTCGCACTACACATAGATTTCTCCAATGCACTAAGATTTTCTTGTACTTGTATTGCCTTGTGAGCCAGCTTATGGTAGACCTTTATATAAATGTGTAGCCCGACGGTGTCGTGTAATGAAATTTCCTTTCTGCTCCTTGTGTTTGGTCAGAAGCAATACTAGGAAAATGCATTGATGACAAACAGTTTTCAATCCGTGGCATTACTTAATATCATATGGCTGAACATATTGTGATTTGTGGCATGAAGCTGAGGCATGGAAATGTTAATTTTCCTCGTCATTTTGTGTAGTTTACTCTTAAAAATTGTTTGCATGGGCTCTTAAATTGATTGCTATGAACACAGGCTAGTTGCTAAAACCACTCAGTTGGAGGGTGAGAAAATGCAGAAAGAAGTAGAAGTCCAGAAACTCATGGAAGAAAATGTGAGGTTGAGTGCCCTTCTTGACAAGAAGGAGGCTCAACTTGTAGCCATGAATGAACAATGCAAGGTAATGGCCTTGAGTGCTTCACATATTTAATCCAAAGCATACCCTGTTCTCCTTGCTCACCAGCCAGCGTAGCCTGGCTTCATCTCTCTCGGTTCACAACCCCGGGCCGAACAAGGTGGCGGTCGTGACCATGATTTCCGACCACGGAGGCAAGCATCAGGTACTCGTGCCGATATTGTATTTGTGAAAACCCTTGTGGACTTTATTGTGTAGTTACATAGTTTTAGTTGTTTCATCTGAGAACTCACAAGGTTTTTCTTCATTGGAGTTTAAACTTGGTTTGTGAATCATTCCCTGAGATGTGTATGTATGCTTCAAAAGTCGGTATCCCTCTGCTCTTTGGTGCCTACAAAAACTTCCCTTTTAGCATTACACCTCTTCGTGTCTTTGTCAGTTGGAATACAATGCTGCAAAAATCCTTACAAGCAGGTTCCGGGCTGCATTCTGCATTCTGATAAAACTTTATTTTCGGTTTGAGATTTTTATGAATGAGAGCATAGTTTAATTAAGGTGAAGATTCGTAACCTCGATCAAGTAGTCAGAAGTTCATATATTTCACTATTGTAAAGCAAATAGAACCGTCTCCTTTTCTTTTGTCGAGAAACAAAAAACAGTACACTACCTTAGATTTGGTGTCCAATGTAAAGAAAATGTATGATAGTTCTTTTAAATCATTTATTTTTTATAACAATAAGTTTGATCTATTTTATCTACCTATATTATTAATAATTAAAAAAAAATTATTTCTCATTATTGTTTGTAATTCGTCGCATTGATTAAAATAACTTGAGCTAAATTGAACTTAAAATATAAAACGCAATAAGAAAAATTACTATTCTCCCTTTGAAAATAATAATAAAAGTGATATTTTCTAATATATATATATTTATTTATTTATTTATTATTATTTTTCTTCTTTTTCTTTTTCTTTTCTTTTAGGGTAATTGCAAAACTATCCATAGTTTCTGAGCTTTCCATATATGCCAAAAAAAAAAATTAAATTAAATATATATTTTTTAATTTTATTATTCTAATTTTAGATGTCATTAAATATATCAATTATATACCAAATTAGAGCATTGATATTCTAAATATAACGGCCTTAATTTAATTTCTTATTTATTTATTTTGAAGCATTATTTTCTTTGTGATTTATTTTTCATCTAATTTCTTATTAATGTAAAATGTATTATTTTGTTGATATCATCGTCATCTTTTTCATTTTTTTTCATTTTGATTTTTTTTTTTCAATCTAACAATTGTATGTTTATGATAATAATATTCTTTGCTTTTTGCTTTTTGGTACTGTGTTTATTGTTTTATTTTATTTAATTTTCTTTGTGATTCGTTTTGATCCGTAACTTATTTTTTCAACTTTAAAGTTTGACTTTAACGTTTGTCAAATATTCTTAATATTCATTATAATCTTAAAAGTAAGGTAGGGTTGTCTCGAGTTGTGAACTCTATTTTTGGGTTGGTCGGTAACCTCAACAAAAAAAAAAAGTTTCAAACTGCCAACGAAATCAAATTTTTGGTTTTAAAAAATTTGAAGTTAAACTACTAAAAAAATTTAATACAACCCGACCCTTATAGTTTGGGTTGGATAGTCCAAATCGTTCAAGTCATTGAGTCTTATGAATATAATAATAACAATTTACTCATTAGAAAATATAAATACGTAAATAAGAGATTAATTATCATTCTAAATACCTAATTTTAAAGGTGGCTCAAAAATACCTTTTATTTAAAAAAATTCAATAATACTCTTCAACTATTTTTAAAAAGTTTAAAAACACTATCTTCTAGTTTAAAAAAAATACTCATAAATTTTAAAATTAACTTAACACAGTTAAAACAAATTCTTACCATCAATAATAGGAGCAAAAACTGTCTATCAACCCTTCATAGATCATTCATTTGGAGATAAAGTATTTGAATTTTTTTAAAAAGAAATTTAAAGTATTTTTGAAAGTTCTGTAATTCGTTAAAAAAAAAATTATGTTTTTACTGTGAAAGAAAGGGAAGAACAAAAAAAAAACAAGAGGCAGTTCGCTCCAGTTTTCGTGGATTGGTTTTCTCTAGAGATTCAGGCTCGAAATCTTATCTGCCGCAATTCCAGGAAGCTTGAGATTGCAGAGAAATGGCCGCAGACAAATCTCCATTTCAGGTTCGCTTTCTTACCTTACCATTTGCTTGTCTTTCGCAATTTAAGAACGAACCTCCGTTTGAAATTTCCCGCTACAAGATTTTGTGTTCACTATTGTTTCTACACTATAAAAGATTTATAGACTATTCCGTCGGTGTTGTTCGCTTAGGCTTAATCAAATGCTTGTTACTTTTGGGAAGTAGGTTGCCGCAGTTTGAACCTTCTATCTCTCTTCTTTGGTTGGTTTGTTTATTTTGTTTTTGCCCATTTGATTTGTTGTTTTTTTTTTTTTACTGTATTTCGAGGTCGGTTATGGCGAAATTTGTCTCGATCTCAATTTTTGCATTTGTTGTTATTTTTGGCAGATAATATTAGGTTCTTCGTCCATGGCTCGCCGGCGTATTCTGTCGGAGATGGGATACGAGTTCACTATCATGGTGAATTTTCTTATTAGGGATTCCTTTTCCTCCTTGTTTAGTCATTGGAAGATTGACTTGACTTATTCTGTGTTAGACGGCAGACATTGATGAGAAAGCGATTAGGAAGGAAAGGCCTGAAGAACTGGTGGTGGCTCTGGCTGAGGCAAAGGTGTGGCTTATTTACTTTCCTAGTGTAAATTTGGGAACCATTTGGCTTTGCTCTAATATCTAGCCATTTCATCTTTTGCATTGTTCTTGGAAGTGAAGTAACAACTTCTTTAGTCTCGTTTGTAATTCAAGTGAATGTTGAAAAGTTAATAGTTCATGCAGCTTTTCAATATGGTTGAGCCAAGCAAGCCTGATTTGTAAGGGGTAGTTAGTAACTAGAAAGTAAAAAGAACGGCCTGTTCTACGATGTTTCAGCTCTCAATTTCTTTATCAAAATTACTCAATTTGATCCTCTGAATCTTGAGGAATTTTCAATTTGAAGGAAAAGGGACCGTAGATAGGAATTCGACATTTACCCCCAATTTGAGCCCGAAACTGATTTCCTTTAGAAGCACAATTACTTTTAATTACATCCAAGGCACTATGAAATTAACAGAAGTCCTGCGGGACTTTCATCTATTAAGGCTCTTTTTTTTAAGGACTTTGTCAATGACATGCTCAATTGGAACCATTGTAACTTTGGAAGACAGGGGTTACTTATGGAGTATATGTTCTTATCTTTTAGTCTTTCACAAGGTCAAAAGAAGGGCTTCTATCTGATGGTTTTCACTTGATTTCTCTTAGGCAGATGCAATTATGTCAAGAATTCTAGCCACTGGTGCTCAACTGGACAATGATGCACCTGCAACACTGTTACTGACTGCAGACACAGTATGCTTTAACTCCCTCTTCCTGTTCAGTATTTGCATTAACTCGCATAATATTAGAGTTATTAGAGTGAGTTTAGATAACTTTGCCGATTAAGTGTTCATTCTTTCAAATACTTTTAGAAGTCTCAGAAATCACTTATAATTATGTAAGAACATTTTGAAAAGCTTCAAAAAGTTGTACCAAATCCATCCTAGGTAACAAACAAGTTACTAATTTCAGTTGTGCAAGGGATATGTATCCATTCGTGATGCACTTTCTTTTTCCAGTTTTTCTTTGACATTGTCTCTTATTGTCTAGTAACCTATTAAGAAGTTTCTTGATTGATTTTGAGGTGGTGGTCTATGAAGGAACAATTAGAGAGAAACCATCTAACAAGGACGAAGCTCGAAAATTTATCAAAGGTCAATTGTCTTCCAGATTTCAAACATTTATTTCTTCTTCTTGTAGAACGATGTGAAAATTGAAGCATGTCTAATGATCAACTTAACGACCTGCAGGCTATTCTGGTAGTCATGCATCTGTTGTGGGTTCTATACTCATAACCAACCTCAAGACAGGAACAAGAAAAGGGGGATGGGAAGAGGCAGAGGTATACTAACCTTCAACTCACATTTTATCCTTCCTTAACCGAGGGACAGCGTTTACATGGTTCGAGGGCAAGTTGAATAACGTTGGGCTAATTTTCTGCTGAAGGTTTATTTCTATGACATACCAGAGGAGATTATAGATAGCCTGGTAAACGTGGGAATATTGCCTATTTAGATCTTTTCCAAAGTCGTGCTTTTCGTTTACATTGTTTTCAAGTCTTATTGATGGTAAATTGCATCAGATTGAAGAGGACGTTACATTCAAAGTAGCTGGGGGTCTTATGTTGGAACATCCACTGACTTGGCCGTTAGTTGAGGCAGTGGTTAGTAATATATCTCTACGCTTTTGCAGACATTCGAACATTGTGTTTGTTGTTTGTAATCTATATAAAGAATGAGTACAGATTGACTCATGGATCTGAAAGGGTTTCATAAATCTAGATTTGTGCAATGAATGATAATAAATTCATATCCTAGGATGAACAAACCCACGTGTCGAAACATTAACTTAGCTTTTCATATCATATTATGCGTGTCGAAACATTAACTTAGCTTTTCATATCATATTACGCATGTTCAGTTTGGGGAGTCGAACATCTCATCAAGGTTCTAAAACATTTACTCAGACAATGAATTACAAAAGAAAATTAGCCTGCCTGACCGCTCCATCTAAGTTCTATTTTTGTAACAGCCCAAGCCCACCACTAGCAGATATTGTCCTCTTTCAGCTTTTCTTTCTAGGCTTCCCTTCAAAGTTTTAAAACGCATATGTTAAGGAGAGGTTTCTACATCCTTATAAGGAACGCATCGTTCTCCTCTCCAACCGACGTGGGATCTCACTGTTTTAATTTTAATGTACATCCTTCACTTATTTCCATCAACAAAAATACGTGATAAGTCGTATTTTCTAGAAAAAATCGACTGAACAGACTTGCTTGGGACCGAGTCATTTGTTTATTTTTCCTTTGGAAGTTATATTTAGGAAAATACAAATATGCCTGGGAACTGGATGTTTTGTTATTCCCCTTTATATTTACCATTTGTTCGCTATATCTAATCTAATTCTGATCTGGACTTTCAAACGGATGTGGGCTTTGTGAAACATTTTCTATTAAGAGAAGTCACATTCTCCTCACTTCAGTTTCAACTAACATCCTTTGATTTCACTGTAAAGTGAATGATGATCCTAACACTTAAGGCCTTGACTTTAACCTTGTGTAGGCATATCTATCTATCAGACCCTGAAACGTTTTAGTGTATAACAGGTAGGTTCAACTGACACAGTGATGGGACTTCCCAAAGCTCTTACGGAGAAACTCATGAATGATGCTTTATAGCTCGCTGAGGTAACAAAAAAGAACTTTTACCTTTTGTTACATCATGTTACCACGGAAAATTAGGTTTGAGATTCTTATTCTTGTTGGCTGCTCATCTTGGACATAGATGTTATAATCCTTCAACTGTTTTGATGTTCGCGATTACTCATCTTTTACATCTTAATAAACATGTTGACAATTTGTAATTTTGTTACACGAAAAGGAAAATACACTATTTTTTTTTTGTAAGAAGGGGTAAGCTAACTCTTATGAATTATGACAAGAGAACATAAATTTGAACTTTCAAGAAAAGGGTTCGATATATGTATGTTCCATTTTTATGGATCTCAATTGATTCCTCGTTACTGTTTAGAAGATTAGTAATAGGTAAAGATGACAGGATTTGAACTCGTGATATTTTGTACCCAAAACAAATGCGCTACCAAGCTGTGCTACATCGTGCCATAACTATCTAGCTATGCCCCTACATCGTGCCATAACTATCTAGCTATGCCCCTGGTTTAAATTTATATCACTTCTTTCTCATTATGTGTTTCATGTACTAGTTATTTGTTATTTGAGTGAATCATTTTTTTTTTCTGACTTCTTTCTTATATGATTAAATTCAATGACTTCTTTCTCGTAGGATTATTATTGTGATTTTAAATTTAATTGTATCGACATTACAAAGATTCAAACATATGGTGTTTTGTAGTATGGTGAATCCAAAGAGATATCAACTTGAGAGAACATATTCAGGATCCCAAATTGGAAGGGTGGCGAAGTTTCACAATCGTTATAAAATATTTAGTTACTCTCATTACCAATTGGTTTTGAGATGAGGAACCCCGTGTTTATATAACACTTGGTAAGACGTTTTTTTTTCCCTCCTCTTTTTTGCTTGCAAGTAAAAAAGACCATATTTCAAACCTCTACAATATCATGATAAACCAAATCGAGGAGTTAAAAGAGAGGCAGCAAAAGCATGTCGCCATATGTATGGGCATTAGGTCGAGTTTGTTGAAAGAACAAAATGAGGACAATTATCTCTTATGGTACGAACTCTTTGAGTAAAATTAATAAAAAAATAAAATTATGAGAGCTTATACTCAGTAAATAATATCATATGATTGTAGAAATATTGGAGAGTTATTGTCCTTCACATTAGCTAACCTCGTATTATTTATAAAGTATGGTAGCTAGTTAACTTTTGATGTTGATCGAGAAAGTCCTCCTTCGATAATGAGTTCATCAAACCAAAAAACACGAATGAGATACTCACAAGAAACTATATAATACTCTCGTAGTATCTACTCCTCATACTCAAACAATTTTTTTGTTGTTGAACTTCATGCCCGCCAAATAAATGTTGACATGACTAAAAACTAATGAGAGCAATATCCTATCCATATTACAACTATGGTATATAAATGTGTTTTTTTTATTGGGGTGTTCATATACTTTTAAGTTTATTATAAAGATTTAGAACATTAGACGTTTGTGATTGGTATTAATAATGTGTTATAGCTAGTGAATGTTTGATACTTGAACTTTATGATATTTTAGTTATTTAATAAATATAAATATAACTGATAACCCAAGATTGAGTTATTCAAGTTGTTAGATAAACACGACAATCTACAATGGTATGATATTGTCTACTTTGAACATAAGCTCTCATGGTTTTGGTTTGAGCTTCCCCAAGAGGCCTAATACCCATAGAGATGGTATTCCTTAATTATAAACTTATGATCATTCCCTAAATTAGCGGATATGAAACTTTCATCATCCAAAATAGGTCACTAATTCAACCGACCCAAAATTAAAAATTTTAGATTGCAATCGGTGATACATAATTCCTTATACAAAGCCCATAGAGGAGTCAATATATATTTGCTTACCTATAAGGGGCGTTGGAATCGCCCACCAAACTAAACCAACCAGCCAATCAACTTAAATTTAAGCCCCTCGCCTTCAATCCTCCAACCTTATTCCAAAATTCAACTAGCCATGGTGAACTTGGTTGCAGCTCAGCGCCCACTGCTACACGCCCTAATGAAGATGGCCGGCGTAGTGCCTTACTCCGTCGAGTTCGAGCCCGGCACCACCATGAACTTCTGGGTCCCCGTCGAGACTCTCTCCAAACCCAAAAAAACCCAACCGCCCAAACCGCCGCAAAAACCAACCAAGCCGGTTGTCGTCCTGGTTCATGGTTTTGCCGCGGAAGGAATCGTCACTTGGCAATTCCAGGTATCGAATCCTCACTAAACCCAACACCTTATTAATTAATCAAAATATAATAACACCGATACTCTGTTTAGGTGGGTGCCCTTTCTAAGCGATACTCTGTTTACGTCCCGGACCTCCTCTTTTTTGGCGACTCCATCACCGATAAATCGGATCGGTCACCGACGTTTCAGGCCGAGTGTTTGGCGGCTGGGCTGAGAAAGCTTGGGATCGATAAATGTACGGTGGTCGGGTTCAGTTACGGCGGGATGGTAGCGTTCAAACTGGCAGAGCTCTGGCCAGAGCTGGTGGAGGCTATGGTGGTTTCCGGTTCGATTCTGGCTATGACGGATTCGATCAGCGACGAGACGCTGCAGAGATTAGGGTTTGGGTCGTCCTCTGAGCTGCTACTTCCGACGTCGGTGAAGGGCCTGAAAGCGCTCCTCTCCGTTGCCGCTCATAAAAAGCTATGGTTTCCCGATCGACTCCATAAAGACTTTCTCGAGGTCCGTACAAATATATATATATATATATATATATATATTTATTTATTTATTTATTATTATTTTTTCTTTATTAGTTATTATTTATTTTACAACTTTTCGAGTTATAATTAATTGAACAAAATTGTTCTTTAATAAAAAAAAAATGTCAGAAATTTTTTAAAAATTAATTAAACTATTAGATATAAATTTAGATTTTTTTTTTTTTTATAATGAAGTTCTAACTTTTTTTTTTTTTTTTTTTTTTGTCTATTAGATTTATTGATTTAAAAAAGAATAACAAAATTCAAAACTAAATTATATAGTTTTAGAGCTAAAATTTTAATTTAAGAAAATAATAATAATAATAATAATAATAATAATGGTATTTTTTATGTTCTATAATTTCTATTAAATTTATTTTAAAAGCCTAATTAAAACACTCAAATGATTTTTCTTCCGTTTTTTTAAATGTGTTCAAATATTATTTCAAAATTATATAAAAATATATACTAAACTTTGAAAAAGGGTGTCAATTTTTTTACTCTAAATTAAACTTTCTTTATTGATATCATATTAAATATATATTTTATAATTTAATAAAGATACATGAAAAAAAAATGTCAATAAATCTTTAATAAAAAAATCTACAATAATGTAAATGTTAAGCCTTGTTCAAATTTAAAATAAAATTACAATTTTTAAAAAAAAAATAAATAAAAATTGTTCTATAAAATTAAAAACGAATTATTTGAAATTAATAAACATTTTTTCATGTTTTAAAAAATTGATTTTTGTTTCCATATTTTATTTATAAGTTATTAATTTTTTTGAAGGTTTGAACCCCAACAAATTGAAAATGGAAAAAAAATAAATAAATAAAATACTTTGCATTTAATGACCACCTATCTAACCTACTTCTAACCTAATTAATTTGAAATTCATAGCCATATTTATAAATTAATATATTGAAAGGATAATTTATAAAAGAGGTACCTACTTACATGATGGCCCTAACTTTACCTAATTGAGTATTATTTTCTTCGTAATTTTTATGAGGGGAAAAATAATAATAATTATATAATAAGTTAGAGATCTATGATTTTTTTTTTTTTTTTTTGGTTAAAAAAATGTCACCCAGGTGAGTGAGCTCTAGAGCGTTCTTGGCTCGACTTATTTTAATTAAAATAGAGATTTATTAGAATGTTTAACAAAAGAAATTCGAGCTTAGAATAATGTGTCGATGACCCCAAATATAATTCTAAATAATTTTTACTCTAAGAATAGTTTTGAAACGTTAGAGGTAATATTGTAATTTGTTGTAATTTAGCCGAACAAAAACAAAAGAGTCGTGAGATAAAGTCATCTAGTAACTCCATCTTACACTTCTATTTGATACTTTTAAACTAGAAGTTTATAGATGGTAATTGTTTTAGCATTTTAGGGGATACAAATTAAATTTTTTAACTTCTTTTTTAGGAACCATCCAAAAATAGAGGATTGAGCTGGGTTGCGAAATTTTTCCTGTTAGGTTAGGTTACCAATACAACCAACCCGAATTTTTGGGTAGGTCCAAAAAAATCCCTCAACTCAATCCAACCCGAACCTGATATATCCCTAAACCCAGCTAACACTTTATATTTGAACAATTGCAGGTGATGTTCAATAACAGGAAGGACAGGGCAGAGCTGCTTGAAGGCTTAGTTATGAGTAACAAAGACAGCACTGTGCCTAAGTTCCCTCAGGCACTCTCTTCTTCCCATCTTCACTCCCCACTTTAATTCTTTCACTTGAAGATTGCTTATGATTCTTCATCCATCTCTTTGCAGAAGATACATCTTTTATGGGGCCTAAATGATCAGATTTTCAATGTCGAGCTTGCCCGAAAACTACAAGAGTACGTATCATTTCATTCCATTAAAAGTTAACTAAGGATTCATTTGAAATTGAATCCTAAGTTCTGTTTTGAATCATGCTAAATGTAGGGAACTTGGCGACAATGCAACGTTTCAAAGCATACCGAAGTCGGGTCACTTGGTTCACTTGGAACGACCTTGCATCTACAATAGGTGTCTCAAGCAATTCCTTGCTACCCTGCATTCAAATGCCCAAGCCAAATGACATGCCAAATTGCTTCCTTTCTATTCTTTTTTTATTCAACGTGTGGAGTTGGAGGGTCGAAGCCTCCGACCTCTTTGTCGGGGGTAAATGTTTAAACCTGTAATGTTCAAACTGGTACAATGGTACTCATTTCTATTACTAATCAAAGTATCAAACAATAGCAATTTTTTTTTTTTTTTTTTTTTTTTTTTTTTT